AGTAGAGATGGGGTTTGACTATGTTGGCCAGGATGGTCTTGATCTCCTGACCTCAGGTGATCCGTCTACCTCAGCCTCCCAAACTGCTGGGATTACAGGCATGAGCCACCATGCCCAGCCTGAAGTTCCAAGTTTCTAATCATTGCTTGGTCTTTCCACTGACCAGCCCCCCAAGCTGAACCCATAAAGAGTTGCCTTATGGCCAGGCGCGGTGGCTCAAGCCTGTAATCCCAGCACTTTGGGAGGCCGAGGCAGGTGGATCACGAGGTCGGCAGATCGAGACCATTCTGGTCAACATGGTGAAATCCCGTCTCTACTAAAAATTACAAAAAATTAGCTGGGCACGGTGGCGTGTGCCTGTAATCCCAGCTACTCAGGAGGCTGAGGCAGGAGAATTGCCTGAACCCAGGAGGCCGAGGTTGCGGTGAGCCGAGATCGCGCCATTGCACTCCAGCCTGGGTAACAAGAGCGAAACACCATCTCAAAAAAAAAAAAAGAGTTGCCTTATTAGAACAAAGACATTCAGCACTCAGGAAATTCCAGTGGATTTAGTAGCTCTGTGTGAGGAACCAGTGTCAAAGACCAAATAATAGAACAAAAGATGCTCTTAGCACACTTAGCCCTCAGGAATTCTCTAAGGGTTTTGGGGAGCTCTTTGCTACTCACTGGGGATGAAGACCAAATATATATTTATCACGATAACACAAGGCTTTTTTTTTTTGAGAGGCTGGAGTGCAATGGCACGATCTCGGCTCACTGCAACCTCCGCCTCCTGGGTTCAAGCAATTCTCCTGCCTCAGCCTCCCGAATAGCTGAGACTACAGGCACACGCCACCACGCCCGGCTAATTTTTTTTATTTTTAGTAGCAACGGGGTTTCACCATGTTGACCAGGATGGTCTCGATCTCTTGACCTCGTGATCCACCCGCCTTGGCCTGCCAAAGTGCTGGGATTACAGGCTTGAGCCACCGTGCCCGGCCAACACAAGACTTATTATACAAAAATCTGAGTATTTCATGCAGAAACGAATAAAACAGAACATAAAACTCATCTCCAGCCAGGTGCAGTGACTCACACCTGTAATCCTAGCACTTTGGGAGGCTGAGGTAGGCGGATCACCTGAGGTCAGGAGTTTGAGACCAGCCTGACCAACATGGAGAAACCCCATCTCTACTAAAAATACAAAATTAGCCGGGTGTGGTGGCACATGCCTGTAATCCCAGCTACTCGGGAGGCTGAGGCAGGAGAATCACTTGAACCTGGGAGGCAGAGGTTGCGGTTAGCTAAGATCACCCCATTGCTCTCCAGTCTGGGAAACCAACAAAACTCCATCTCAAAAAAGCCTCATCTCCAGTATAGCAAGTGTGCTTGTCCTTTCCAGGTCCTGTGAAAAGGAAGGGAAGGGGGCATTGTCTAGCTCAAGTAGGGGCTCCCACCATCATGGCCAGGAGACCACTATCTCCCTGATGCAAGTGAGCTGGGGCAGTTCTAATAGAGGCCTCTGCTTAAAGGAATATCATCAGGAAGCAGCAGTCAGACACTAGTAGCCCCTGAAAAACACAGAGCAGAGCTCTAGGTCTAGTCTGGGTGGAGGTCATGGTGGCTTCTCTTGCTCTAGGAACTGTCTAGAAACTGAAGGGTCTCTAGCTTGGACAGGACCTTCATCTCCCTCTAAGGGTTTGGAGCCATGTCAGGATGGCTGCGCTTTGAATGTCACTGCTGATTTTCTATGGCTGAGCCTCTCTAGATCTGGCAGGTCCCTGTGGCCCAGTGAATTAAAAACAGTTCTCGGCTGGCTCACCTCTGTAATCTAGCACTTTGGGAGGCTCAGGAGGGCAGATCACCTGAGGTCCAGAATTTGAGACCAGCCTGATCAACATGGAAAAACCCCATCTCTCCTAAAAATACAAAATTAGCCAGGCGTGGTGGCACATGCTTGTAATCCCAGCTACTCAGGAGACTGAGGCAGGAAAAGTGCTTGAACCCAGGAGGCAGAGGTTGCAATGAGCTGAGATTGCGCTATGCACTCAAGCCTAGGCAACAAGAGCAAAACTCCATTTCAAAAAAAAACCAGTTCTCTCCTGTTTGTACTTTCTTTAACCATGAGGATTAATCTGAGTGACAAGTGCCTGAATGCCTGAACTGGTTGGTCATTGGAGAGAATTATAAATACAAACTATCTCTTTTTTTTGAGGGAGAGACATTGTCTCACTCTGTTGCCCAGGCCAGTCTGGTGTGCAGTGGTGTGATCTCAGTTCACTGCAACCTCCACCTCCCAGGTTCAAGAGATTCTCCTACCTCAGCCTCCTGAGTAGCTGGAATTTCAGGCGCCCGCCACTACACCTGGGTAATTTTTGTATTTTTAGTAAAAACAGGGTTTCACCATGTTGATCAGGATGGTCTCAAAGACCTGACCTCAGGCGATCCACCTGCCTCGGCCTCCCAGTGGCATGAGCCACTGCACCAGCCCTATCTTTTTTTTTTTTTTTTTTAAAGGGTCTCACTTTGTTGCCCAGGCTGGAATATAATGGTGTGATCTTGGCTTACTTGCAGCCTCAACTTCCTGGGCTTAAGCAGTCCTTCCATCACAGCCTCCCACGCAGTTGAGACTACAGGCATGCACCACCACACCCAGCTAATTTTTGTATTTTAAAAGTAAAAGAGGGGGTCTAAAAAAAAAATAGTTGGGGCCGGGCACGGTGGCTCACGCCTGTAATCCCAGCACTTTGGGAGGCTAAAGCGGGTGGATCACGAGGTCAAGAGATTAAGACCATCCTGGTCATCATGGTGAAACCCCGTCTCTACTAAAAATACAACAAATTAGCTGGGCATGGTGGCACGTGCCTGTAATCCCAGCTACTCAGGAGGCTGAGGCAGGAGAATTGCCTAAACCCAGGAGGCGGAGGTTGCGGTGAGCCGAGATCACACCACTGCACTCCAACCTGGGTAACAAGAGCGAAACTTCGTCTCAAAAAAAAAAAAAAGTAAAAGAGGCTGGGGGCAGTAGTTCATGCCTGTCATCCCAGCACTTTGGGAGGCCAAGGTGGGCGGATCGAAAGGTCAGGCATTCAAGACCAGCATGGCCAACATGGCAAAACCCCGTCTCTGCTAAAAATACAAAAATTACCCTGCTGTGGTGGCTGGCACCTGTAAGTCCCAGCTACTTGGGAGGCTGAGGCAGGAGAATCGCTTGAATCTGGGAGGTGGAGTTTGCAGTAAGCTGAGATCATGCCACTGCACTCCAACCTGGGTGACAGAGTGAGACTCTGTATCCAAAATAAAAAAAGTAAAAGACATGAGGTTTCACCATGTTGGCCAGGCTGGTCTCAAAGTCCTGAGCTGAAGTGATCCACCCACTTCAGCATCCCAAAGCATTGCGGATTACAGGCATGAGCTACTGCACCTGGCCTGAGAGCAATTTTCTTTCTTTCTTTTTTTTTTGACACAGAGTCTCTGTTGCCCAGGCTGGACTGCAGTGGCACTATCTCAGCTCACTGCAACCACCACCTCCTAGGTTCAAGGCGATTCTCCTGTCTCAGCCTCCTGAGTAGCTGGAATTACAGGTGCCTGCCACTATGCCTGGCAAATTAGAGCACTTTTTAATACAGACATAGGATTATATTTAGGATACCAAATAATTTGAAATGGATCTTTTATATTATTGAGTTCTAGGGAGAATACACTCAGCTCAACTTAAACTGAATGTCAGAATGTGCTTAGAATAACTGTGGAAAGAGAAGAGAGCATAAGTGGTCTCAGAGACCATAATGGACACTTTTTGAATACAAGTAGTTTATTTGTCTGGGAGAGACTGCAAAAGTTAGGGAAGGTAGAAAACATGGAAAAGGGAACTAACCCAGTGAGACACCTACTGGGGTGAGTGCCTGTGTGCAATTCCTGGGGAACCTCTGGAAACTAAAACGCATGCTTCAGAGTTTCCACACATGGGGAGATGGAGAATTTGGTGTTTATCAAATTCTCATCAGCGATTAGTTGATGGCTGCTCCGAGGATGTCTTAATACCCGGAAGGCCACGAGGTGTAGACAGAGTCAGATTAAGCCCATAGAAGGTGTAAGGCCAGAGGGACTTCGCAAGGGCCCATAGCACCTACTACAAATGCTGACTTAGAAGTCTACCAGAATCTACTAACACATTCATTTTAGATAATAGGCTAAAATCAGAGGAGTTCTTCATACCTCACTAGTTACTAGTGAGTAGCCCTTAGGTTTCTTTTTTTGTTTAAGTCTATACATTAGCAGATCATAGTTGTATGTAATACAGGAAAGGCATTCTTCAATTATTTTCTTTTTTGAGACAGAGTCTCATTCTGTTGCCCAGGCTGGAGTGCAATGGTGCTTTCTTGGCTCACTGCATCCTCCGCCTCCCAGGTTCAAGCGATTCTCCTGTCTCAGTGTCCCAAATAGCTGGAACTGCAGGAACACCACCATGGCTAATTTTTGTATTTTTAGTTGAGATGAGGTCTCACCATGTTGGGCAGGCCGGCCTTGAATTCCTGACATCAAGTGATCTGCCAGCCTCCTGGGATTACGGGCGTAAGCCACCACACCTGGTCCATTCTTCAGTCCTTCAGTCATTCACAACCCATGCAATGGTCCCCAGCCTGGCAACCACAGGGCAAAGCTTCTATGGCTCCCTTCTGCCTTAACTAGACCAGAGGGAATGAGGGTACAGAGCGTGCAAGAGTGGACACAACAGCTTACCAACCTTTTCTTTTGAGACAGCCTCACTCTGTCACCAGGGCTGGAGTGCAATGAGTGACAACACATCATGGCTCACTGCAACCTTGAACTCCTGGGCTAAAGTGATCCTCCCACCTCAGCCTTATGACTAGCTGGGACTGGAGGTGTGACCACCACACCTGGCTTTTTTATTTTTTGTAGAGACGAGATCTCACTATATTGCCCAGGCTAAAATTTCTTTTTAAGCATTTCTTCACTACAGCAGAAGATTGGCTACAAAAAGAAGGCCTCCATAGAAAAACCCTTTTAGTTACATTTATTGCTTTTCATGAAAAAAAATCAAGTGACACACGCTTGAAGTAGAGGTTAAGTCCTAGTCCTTCAATGACTGCTTTCCAGTTAATATCACGTGGATATGTGTCCTTTGTGAGTGCCCTGGTGCTTAATAAAGCTTGTGTGCCACTTGAAAGATTTTCCACATATAACACATGGGTAGGGTCGGCTTCCTGTGTGAATGACCTGATGTCGAAAAAGATTCCTCTTAAAACTAAACGTTTTCCCACATTCTCCACATTGAAAGAATTCCTCCTTTGTATGGATTCTTTGATGCTGAATGAGATCCAAATTCCGACCAAAGGACTGTCCACATTCACTGCATTTATGGGTATTCGGTTTGCTGTGAATCTGTTGATGACATAGAAGGGTTGAATGCCGGCCAAAGGCTTTTCCACACTCAAGGCATTTATGGGGTTTTTCTCCACTGTGGATCACCTGATGTCGAAGAAGGGTTGAATTCTGACTAAACGTTTTTTCACATTCGTTACATTTGTAGGGTTTCTCTTTGGTATGAATCCTCTTATGTTCAACAAGATATGCGAGCTGCCGAAAACACTTTCCACAGTCATGACATCTGTATGGCTTGTTTTGCAGGTGACACTGTTTATGGACTGTAAGAGCTGACCGCTGTCTGAAGGCTTGCCCACACACCTTACACTCAAAGGGATTCTCTAAAAAGTGAATTCTTTGATGTTGATCAAACCATGCCTTACGCCTAATGACTTTTCCACATTCACTGCATTCATAAGACTTTGCTCTTGTGAGAATTTGCTCGTGTCCCAAAAGCAAAGATCTTTGATTGAAGGGTTTCCTATCCTCATCATAGCTGCCCTGCTTCCACCTTGTTTGTGCATTCTGATCTTCAGTAAGGTTAAGGTTTTGAAGGAAGCCCCTGCTGTATTCATCACCACTAGTAGGGAAAGTCAGCCTGCAATTGTCCACAAACTCTTTACACTTATGTAACTTTTCTGAAAGTTTCTTGGCTGATTCCTGCATTACCACTGATATCTTATATGACTCTAAATCTTCAGAAAATTTCTGTCTTGAAGTTAGCTTTTTCATCTTGTGTCTGGCTTCAGAACCTAGCCAAATAACAAAAAAAGATGTAAATGACCTATCCACCGCAGAAGCAAAAAAGGAAGAGAAGCCAATGGTTAGGGGTCTAGAACAATCAAATGAAGCTAAGAAGTGATCTCGTTTGCATCGTCAGACTCAAGAAGCCAAAATTCTGAATTAATTTTTTTTTGGAGATGGAGTCTGGCTTTGTCACCCAAGCTGGAGGGCAGTGGCAGAATCTCAGGTCACTGCAACTTCCGCCTCCTGGGTTCAAGCAATTCCCCTGCCTCAGCCTCCCGAGTAGCTGGGATTACAGGCACCTGCCACCATGCTCAGCTAATTACTGTATTTTTAGTAGAGACAGGGTTTCACCATGTTGGCCAGCCTGAAATTCTGAATTTCACTGGACTCTTCGCTCTCATAACAAAAAGAGGTCTCAGCACTGACAAACTCACTAAAAGTGCACAGAAATGGGCCTGGCGCGGTGGCTCAAGCCTGTAATCTCAGCACCTTGGGAGGCCGAGGCGGGTGGATCACGAGGTCAAGAGATCGAGACCATCCTGGTCAACATGGTGAAACCCTGTCTCTACTAAAAATACAAAACTTAGCTGGGTGTGGTGGCGCAGCCTGTAATCCCAGCTACCTGGAAGGCTGAGGTAGGAGAATTGCTTGAACCCAGGAGGCGGAGGTTGCGGTGAGCTGAGATCATGCCATTGCACTCCAGTCTGGGTAATTAGAGCGAAACTCTGTCTCAAAAAAATAAAAAATTTAAAAAATAATAAAAGTGCACAGAAATGTGTGTGCCAGAGAACGTAAGAGCAGAGCCCATCACCGTTATTAGAAAAACAACTTATTCTAGGTAGTAGTACCAAATAAAACTCAGCGAGGTAGCATGTTATGCTTCAAGACACACTTTTTGAGACATGCTGAGGCTGGTGTGCAGTGGCATGATCTCATCTCACTGCAATCTCCACCTCCTAGGTTCAAGAGATTCTCGTACCTCAGCCTCCTGAGTAACTGGGACTACAGGTGTCCACCACCACGCCCGGCTAGTTTTTGTATTTTTTTCTGAGACGGAGTTTTGCTGTTATTACCCAGACTGGAGTGCAATGGCAAGATCTCGGCTCACCGCAACCTCCACCTCCTGGGTTTAAGCAATTCTCCTGCCTCAGCCTCCTGAGTAGCTGGAACTACAAGCGCACACCACCATGCCCAGCTAATTTTTGTATTTTTAGTAGAGACGGGGTTTCACCTTGTTGACCAGGATGGTCTCGATCTCTTGACCTCATGATCCACCCGCCTTGGCCTCCCAAAGTGCTGGGATTATAGGCGTGAGCCACCGCATGGGGCCTGTACTTTTTTTTAAATACAGAATGCTTCACGAATTTGCGTGTCATCCTTGCGCAGGGCCCATGCTAATCTTCTCTGTATTGTTCACAGTTTTAGTACATGTGCTGCCGAAGCGAGCACTAGTTTTTGTATTTTTAGTAGAGATGGGGTTTCACTGTTGGCCAGGCTGGTCTTAAACTCCTGGCCTCAAGCAACCCGCCTGTCTCAGCCTCCCAAAAGTGCTAGGATTACAGGCATGAGCCACCATACCCAGCCTAGATACATGTTTTTAATAACTCTAGGTGAAGCATCTACTTAAAAATGGAGAAAGCATAGGACAGAACAGAAAAGGAACCAGAGGGAAGTAGGGACAAAAGCCAACTGACTAGAGCAGCGGGTCTCCAGTAGGGGTGAGCAGGGTTCGGACAATGGAGACATTTCTAGCTGTCACACCTGGAGAGGTTCAACTGGTGTCTACAGGATGCAGGCCAGGGGTGCTACTCAACATCCTAGAATGCACAGGACATGCCCCCATCCCAACCCTAAAGAATTCATCAGCACAAAATGTCAGTAGTACCAAGAAGAGAAACCTTGGATGTGAAAAACAGTAGTGGCTGCATCAGGACACAGAAGTAGAAAAATGCAGATATGTCAAGAAATATGAAAACAAAGCAAGGGAACAACAGGCAGCACAGAGAAAGGACAAGTAATGAGGGTAGAATCAAGGGGCCTCTAGGGTACCCTGAGAGTTGTCACTTTAGAAAACACTAGAGCAGCTGCATCAAAGCAGTACTTTTTCCTGAAGGAGAGAATAAGGGTTCCAGACTTGAAATCAAACCCCACTGTCCACCTCCCAGCTGTAGGAGATTTCTTCTTTTTTTGAGAGTCTTGCTGTCACTCAGGCTGAAGCAGTCATGTAATCTCAGTTCACTGCAACCTCTGCCTCCCAGGCTCAAGCAGTCCTTGCACCTCAGCCTCCAGAGTAGCTGGGACTACAGGCATGCGCCACCAAGCCCAGCTTAAATTTGTATTTTTTGTAGAGACGGAGTTTCACCATGTAACCCAGGCTGATCCTGAATTCCTGGGCTCAAGTGATGCTCCTGCCTCTGCCTCCCAAAGTGCTGGGATTGTGGGCATGAGCCGCCATACCAGGCCTCTGTGGTATTTCTTAATCTTTTAGTTTCTTCATCTGGGAAATGGGGACGCTGATCTCCCACTTCACAGGGCAGGAGGGATGAAGAAGTGGGATAATATATGCCCAGCACCTGGCTCAGCATCTGGCACCCAGAATGGGCTTCACTAACGTGACTTTTCTTCCTCTTCCTGATGCCACTTGCCTCGGTCTCTTCCTCACCCACCTGGGCAAGCACTACCGGAAGCCTTCCTATTCCCAGCTCTCGGTAGATCCAGGATCCACTGCTCGTCCCAGTTCTCCAGCTGACAGATCACCTCAGGTTTGGGGAACTGAAATCCTACTCATGGGGAAGTAAATGGGATGTGGCCGTTAGTGAGTTACAGAGACATGACGCGGGGCTCAGTGGCAAACAGAGATAAGGATAATAATCAAAAGGGCTGGTGACAATAGAGATTGGCACAATCTTTGTAAATATCTGGCAGTCTTTATTGAAAGCCTGAACAATGTTCATACCTTTGGCTGTGGTCATTTCACTCTTAGAAATACAGCCTAAAGTACAATTGTAACCAAGATGAATGTGCCAGAGACGTTCGGCACAGTGGTACTGCAGTGTCAAACTGGAAATAAACTGAATATCAACAGGGAACAGTTAATTGTAGCACATTATTGCGATGAAGGCAAAAGTATTAGGCAGATATTAAAAATCCTTGAATTCAATTATTTATTTATTTACTTTTGCGATGGAGTCTTGCTCTGTCACCCAGGCTGGAGTGACAATCTTGGCTCACCGCAACCTCCACCTCCCAGGTTCATGCAATTCTCCTGCCTCAGCCTTCCAAGTAGCTGGAACTACAGGCACACGCCACCACACCCAGCTAATTTTTGTATTTTTAGTAGAGTTAGGGTTTCACCATGTTGGCCAGGCAGGTCTTGAACTCTGACCTCAGGTGATCCACCTGCCTCAAGCTCCCAAAGTGCTGGGACTGTATACAGGTGTGACCCACTGTACCTGGCCAACTATTTGGTTTTTTTTTTGGTTTTCTTTTTTGAGACAGAGTCTCACTCTGTCACCCAGGCTGGAGTGCAGTGGCACAATCTTGGCTCACTGCAGCCTCTGCCTCCGGGATTCAAGCAATTCTCTAGCCTCAGCCTCCCAAGGAGCTGGGATTACAGGTGCCCATCACCCTGCCTGGCTAATTTTTGTATTTTTAGTAGAGATAGGGTTTCACCATGCTGGCCAGGCTGGTCTCAAACTCCTGACCTCAGATGATCCACCCACCTCGGCCCCCCAAAGTGCTGGGATCACAGGCATTAGCCACTGTGCACAGCCCACTGTGTATTAAAATAGAAAAATACTGCCTATATATCTTAAAGCAGAATACAAAACTCATGTATAGCATGATCCAAATTTTATTTTAAAAGCTATGTATGTGTGTGTGTTATATATGTGTGTGCAAGTAATTAATAGAGTTTGAACATCCCTAATCCAATATACGAAACTTTTTGCGCACTAACCTGCCACAAGTGGAGCATTCCACACCTGACCTCACGCGACCGGTTGCAATCAAAACACAGGTGTACAACACTCAGTTAACTCAGCCTTCCCCAGGGAAAAATAAAAGGGCCTTCAAGCTATGTGTCTAAGGTGTATATGAAACGTAAGTGAATTTCTTGTTTAGACTTGGGTCAGACCCTCAAATTATCTTATTACACACATACAAGTATTCTAAAATCCAGAAAAAAAATCCAAAATCCAAAACACTTTTGGTCCCAGGCATTTTGGATAAGGGATCCTTGTCCTGTAATAGACACACAGACAGACTGGGAAAAGGTAAACCAAAATGTTAACAGGAGTTATTTGTGGAAAGTGGACCTGCAGGTGATTTTTATTGTCTACTCTATTTACTGATATATTTTTCCAGAATTTCTATAATGAAAATTATTTTCAAAACTAGTAAAATGCATAAAAGAGTGCAATGATATAGTATAGAAGCACTCTCGGCCAGGTGCGGTGGCTCGTGCCTGTAATCCCAGCACTTTGGGAGGCTGAGTTGGGCAGATCACCTGAGGTCAGGCATTCAAGACAAGCCTGACCAACATGGAGAAACCCTGTCTCTACTAAAATTACAAAATTAGCCAGGTCTGGTGGTGAGTGCCTATAATCCCAGCTACTTGGGAGGCTGAGGCAGGAGAATCACTTGAACCCAGGAGGTGGAGGTTGTGGTGAGCCAAGATGGCACCACTGCACTCTAGCCTGGGCAACAAGAATGAAATTTGGCTGAGCACAGTGGCTCACCCCTGTAATCTCAGCACTTTGGGAGGCTGAGGCAGGCAGATCACCTGAGGTTGGGAGTTTGAGACCAGCCTGACCAACATGGAAAAACCCCGTCTCTGCTAAAAATACAAAAAAATTAGCTGGGCGTGGTGGCACATGCCTATACTCCCAGCTATTCAGGAAGCTGACATGGGAGAACTGTTTGAATCCAGGAGGTGGAGTTCGTGGTGAGCCGAGATGGCCCCATTGCACTCCAGCCTGGGCAACAAGAGCGAAACGCCATCTCTAAAAAAAAAAGAAAAACAAAGAAGCATTCTCAAATGTTACTATTGGATATGCAAAACAGTATAAATTTTGTTGAAGAATCATTCAGTAATCAATAAAGAATAAAGTGCCATCTCCTTTAACTTCAAAATTCTGATTTGGGGAAAGTCTTTGGGAAATGACCAAAATTCATATGAAGATTTATACTCAGAAACATCTATTCAAACATTATAAATACACAAGCAAACCACAAACAAAAACAAAGCCAAGCTGAATGTCCCAAATGAGAAAACAATGAAATATTATTACGGATCACAGTGGAGTTATGCTTGTTTACTGTTTCTGCGGGGAAACACTGATACAATCAAGTTTAAAACAGATTATAGGATTACACACAGAATATGCTCAGCTACTCTGGTAAAGGCATAGGAAAAAAAGACTGGAAGGAAATCTCCCAAAATACTAACAGTGTTACTCCTGAACGCATTCCTCTTCTCTTCCTTCCTTTCTATACCTCCATGTACTGATGTATGCTCTTGTAATGCTTTTTAAAAAAAGGGAAAATTAAAATTATAAAAACCCACAGGTGGGCAGATGATCCCACAAGAGGTAGTCAAGACCCTGTGCTAAGAATGTCAGTGCAGGGGCTAAACATGTGGCCCCAAAAAGAAAACTATTTACCAAGGCGACTCCCAGAGTGGGAGACTACGGTGGAATAGGAGGGCTGGGCTCCTGAAAAGATGGAAGCTGTGAAGGTTCAGATATGAAGTTGGTTTAAAATCATTTTCTGAGCACCCACTAATGTTACAAACCAAGAAGTTACCTATTTCCAGAAAAAAGAAAGAAAAAGACTTTCAGGAGCATAAGAAGTGAGCCTTTGGACTGTAAATCCACCATAATCTTCTCAACCCCTGGAGGTCTTACAGATGTGATACATGGGGTGAGAGTGAAGAATGCATTAAGTGTCTCTGTCTGAGCCCTAACACAAAAAACACAACCATTCACTGTCCCCGATCCCTTATGTGAAACTCTTGGGACCAGATGTGTTTCAGGAGTCAGAATTTTTCCAATTTCAGAAAGGTAACCTGATGTAAGTATTTTACATAATGTATCATCCCCAGTAGACTTTGAAGTGGTGCCTTCAAATACACTGTTATTGTTGTTGTTGCTTTGTTTTGAGACAGAGTCACACTCTGTCACCAGGTTAGAGTGCAGTGGCGTGATATCGGCTCACTGCAACCTCTGCCTTCCAGGTTCAAGTGATTCTCCTGTCTCAGCCTCCCAAGTAACTGGGACTACAAGCGTGCGCCATCGCACCTGACTAATTTTCATATCTTTAGTAGAGATGGGTTTCACCATATTGGCCAGGCTAATCTCAAACTACTGACCTCAGATGATCCACCCACCTTGGCCTCCCAAAGTGCTGGGATTACAGGCGTGAGCCACCGTGCCCAGCCTACACTGTTATTTCTGAAGTTGGGCATATAGATAGGCATACCAAGTTGGAAAAACAGACAATAAATGGTTTCCTATGGGATGAAGTCAGGTTTCACTGTGGTGATGTTGAGTCAGGGCTTGTAGCCACATGAGTTATGAAAAAACTGTTTTCAGCACTTTTTCTGATTCTGGAATTATAGATAAGGGCCTGAGGGCTTGCACAGACACTCAGAACACAGACAAAGCCCAACCTTCAAGCCGTGTCCTACCCAGGAAGACCATGTTCCTGTAGTTTTCCAGCATCACATCTCGGTAGAGGTCCTTCTGACTCCAGTCGAGGTGGCCCCACTCCTCTCTGGTGAAGTACATCGCCACATCCTCAAACGAGAGCAGCTCCTGGAAAAGTAGCTGATAAAGGTAACTGCAATTCTTACAATAACTTGTGCATGATGATTATTCTACAGGTGAGGAAACTGAGGTTTGGGGAGGTAAAGTGTGCGGGCCAAGGCCACCCAATTCATAAGGAATAGATTCAGGGTTCCATTCAGGCCTTCTGGCCCTCAGGCCAGACATGCTGGCTTCCATACCATGGGGTTGACAGACTTAATCTCTAAAGGGCCAAATGGTAAGTAATTTAGGCTTTTCAGGCCCTCTGGTCTCTGTTCCAGTTCCTCAAACCTGCTGTCAATTTGAGGAACAGCAAATCAACAATCTGAGGAACAGCTTTTGTGTTGGAGCACAAAAGCAGCTGTGGACTACAAGTAAGCGAATAGGCACAGTTGTGTTTCAGGGAAACTTTACCAAGCTTTCCAGGGCAGTTTGCTCACCCCTGCTCTATACAAATAACGTATTGCTTCTGCCCCGGGTTCCTTAGGAAAGAAATGAGGTCACTAGGGGTTGGTTAATGTGCAGACTATTTACAAAGGGATGAATAGGCTAAACAAACATAAACAAGGAATGTGGAAGGTCATAGGTGCTGGCCACCCTGGGGAACCAGGGCCTGCTAGGTCTAAGGAATAAGGTGCGGAGGGCTGCTGGAGCCCAGAATGCTCTGAAAAGGGAGCAAGACTGGAGCTGGTCCAAAGAGGATGGAGCCACACCCATCCCACAGAACGGCAGGGAGGGAGCCATGGGAAGAGAAACCCAGCCTCAATTTCCTCCAGGCCTCTGGAGCCCTCCAGCCTCTTCATCCCATTGCCACAAGCCAAGCAGATGTGCCAAAGCAAGGGAGCCCGTTGCTGGAGAATATAAAAGGTACAGACCAAACCCCAGACACCTGGGGAGCATATCCAGAGGGGGCAACAAAGGACACAGCACAGTGAGCACAGGGGGACTTTACATCTGCAAGTGACTGTCCCCCTCCCATGCGCTGAGCACTGAAGCTGCCACACACTCGCTCCCACACCACTGCAGGTTACGGAGCAGAGGGACCCAGGGGCTGTCTACACACTCCCTCCTCTCACAAGACACTGTAGGGTTCAGAGGGACGTGTACAAGGCAAGCATTCACTGTCCCATAAGTGGTCAGTAATAGGAAACGCCCACCCCCATCCTGAGAAGCTTCGTATAGCTCCCCTCTGCAGACAGACACCAGAACCTCCCAAATTACATGGACTTTCTTTCCTGCTTATCAAACCTGAGTTCAACTGCTACGGTTGCAGGCCCTTTCTCACCATCATCCAGAATGTCACTCTTTTACCAGAGCGGCGCTGCCCTCAATCTGACCTACTTAGCCACCTGCATTCCTGACCCTGTACGAGGTTAACAAGCATAACAAGCATGGGAATAAAACGGCTTCATCTTCATGATAACTCCTCTCTTAACATCCGCAGTAGGTTCTTGGAAACTGTTTTTTAGCAAAAGTACTTACAGCAGCAAGTCCTTGAATAACTTTGTTTAACTGTAACAGTGATGGAAAAAAATGGTTTTGATATATACAGTTTCCCTTAAAGTTGCAATTTCCAAGAAGCCATCAACATCTAGGACTTGTACATTGATAGTTGGGCACCAAATGTTGCTTAAAAGTTCCATTTGTTTGTTTGTTTTTGAGACAGGTTTCGCTCTTGCTGCCCAGGCTGGAGTCTAACGGCCCAATCTTGGCTCACTGCAACCTCCACCTCCTGGGTTCAAGCGATTCTCCTGCCTCAGTTTCCCAAGTAGCTGGGACTACAGGCGTGCACCGATACACTCAGCTAATTTTGGTATTTTTACTAGATACGGGGTTTCACTATATGTTGGCCAGGCTGGTCTCAAACTCCTGATGTCAGGTGATCTGCCTGCCTTGGCCTCCCAAAGTGCTAGGATTACAGGCATGAGCCGCTGTGCCTGGAACCTCTCTCCTTTCTTTCAAACTCAAGTCTCTTCTAGGCCGGGTGGGGTGGCTCATGCCCGTAATCCCAACTAGGCCAGGTGGGGGTGGCTCACGCCTATAATCCTAAGACTTTGGGAGGCTGAGGCTGGTAGATGGCTTGAGCAAGGAGTTCAAGAACAGCCTGGGTAACATGGTGAAATCTTGTCTTTACAAAAAATACAAAAATTCACCAGGCATGGTGGCATGTACCTGTGGTCCCAGCTACTTGGGAGGCTGAGGTGGGAGGATCACCTGAACCTGGGAGGTCAAGGCTGCCATGAGCCACGATCATGCCACTACATTCCAGCCTGGGTGACAGTGAGACTCTGTCTCAAAAAAAAGACAGACAACTCAGTATCCTCTGATCACCCTCCATAATGCTACAAATTCAATAAATGACCTTCCATCATACCCTTTCTTTTTTTTTTTTTTTTGAAACGGCGTTTCACTCGTTACCCAGGCTGGAGTGCAATGGCGCGATCTCGGCTCACGGCAACCTCTGCCTCCTGGGTTCGGGCAATTCTCCTGCCTCAGCCTCCTGAGTAGCTGGGATTACAGGCACGCACCACCATGCCCAGCTAATTTTTTTTTTTGTATTTTTAGTAGAGACGGGGTTTCACCACGTTGACCAGGATGGTCTTGATCTGTTGACCTCGTGATCCACCTGCCTCGGCCTCCCAAAGTGCTGGGATTACAGGCTTGAGCCACCGTGTCCAGCCCCCATTATACCCTTCCATGAATGGTTCAGAATTTATTATAAGTTCCTTACACATCTATCTCGCTAATCAGATTGAGAGTTGATCTCCCAGCACAGAAGACAGCACCTGGAGTGTGTACAGCAGTGGGTGCACAATAACGCTCATGGAAGAAACAATGGGCAACTACCGCAAAACTAACAGTGACAGCTTAACCTGCTGCTAAACTGTAACCAGATACCGAGCAAAGGACTTCACAGGGCGTTTTTCAGAGTCCTCACAACTCCCTGTGATAGGCCCACTCATTGACCCATTTTATAGAAAAGGAAACTGGAGCCAGAGTGTTTATGTAACTTACTGAAGGGAGCCCATGTGACTCCAGAGGCTAAGCTCTACATCGCCCTTTCTAAGAAGGAAAACTCCCCACATTGATCAACAGGGCTCAACCTGAGGAAGGACCTGCTGGTGGCAGTGACTATGCTGGCTGAGGAAGCAGATGGGGAGCCACAGCTCACCTTCCCACTGACTGGTGGGAACATAGCTTCCATGGCCTGGTCTTTGACAAGGGGTGGGATCCTAGGCGTCAGGCTGAGCTGGAGAAGAAAAAAAAGAGAGTCAGTAAGGCCAGCCCTAATTGAAGCTCTCATGCTTGGCAGATCTAGAACCAGGAATTCTAATGGGGCCCACAGACAAAACTTAATACAAAGTCACTGTGTTTGGTGTTGGAACATGATGAAATGCATGAGCCACTACAATAAATATAGGAATTTCTGAGGCTAGATCAATTTCCCAAGCTCTATTCAAGGGAACCAGCAGCCCTACCATCCCCTTCTCCCTAGAACATGTCATCCTCAGCACCTCATGTACAAAGGGACAGCAAGTAGACCACATATAAAAATAGCACTCTGGGGCTGGGCACGGTGGCTTACGCCTGTAATCCCAGGACTTTGGGAGGCCGAGGTGCGTGGATCACGAGGTCAAGAAATAGACACCATCCTGGCTAATACGGTGAAACCCCTTCTCTACTAAAAATACAAAAATTTAGCTGGGCATGGTGGTGCATGCCTGTAATCCCAGCTACTCAGGAGGCTGAGGCAGGAGAATCGCTTGAACCTGGGAGGCAGAGATTGCAGTGAGCCAAGATCGCACCAGTGCACTCCAGCCTTGGCAACAGAACGAGACTCCATCTCAAAAAGAGAAATAAAAATAGCACTCTGATCCACTCCCTGTAGCAACCAGCTCCGAAAGCCAAACCATAGCCTCTACAGCCACAGGTCCCAAATCAGGACTTGATCAATATCTAATAGCTTTATCAAAAATTTTGCTCCCCACTCCTTTAATTTAGGACCAACAGGAGAAAGCCAAGACCAGAGGTACGTGCCTGACCATGCCTGGCTAATTTTTGTATTTTTAATAGAGACGGGGTTTCACTATGTTGGCCAGGCTGGTCTTGAACTCCTGACCTCGTGTTCTCCCTTTACCCCCCACTTCAGGTGCTGTCCCCTCCCCTATCACACAGGATGTCCTAAGTCTAGTTAACCTAGGGATTCTAGCTAACCGGCTTTTCTCTAAATCTACTTATATATTTCCAATTCTGCTCCTAAGGCCAGCTCCACTTACTGACAAGCCCCCTCTGAAAGTTTTTGTTTTGGGGGGGTCTCTCAACCCCCACCTCTAGCCTGCCTGGTAATTTGCTAACAGGATTCAGCAAAAGTAACAATTACAGACTAGCTTCCTTTTTTTTTTTTTTTGAGATGGAGTCTTGCTCTGTTGCCCAGTCTGGAGTGAAATGGCATGACCTTGGCTCACTGCAACCTCTGCCTCCCAGGTTCAAGTAATTCTCCTGCCTTAGCCTCCTAAGTATCTGGGACTACAGGGGTGTGCCAACACGCACAGATTATTTTGTATTTTTAGTAGAGATGGGGTTTCACTCTGTTAGCCAGGATGGTCTCAATCTCCTGATTTCCTGATCCCCCCGCCTCAGCCTTCAAAGTGCTGGGATTATAAGTGTGAGCCACTGTGCCCAGCCCCTTTTTTTGAGACAGAGTTACGCTCTTGTCACTAGGCTGGAGTGCAATAGTATGATCTCAGCTCACTGCAGCCTTCACCTCCTGGGTTCAAGTGATTCTCCTGTCTCAGCCTCTCAAGTAGCTGGGACTACAGGTGCATGCTACCAAGCCCAGCTAATTTTTGTATTTTCAGTAGAGACAGGGTTTCGCCATGTTGGCCAGGCTGGTATTGAACTCCTGACCTCAGGTGATCCACCTGCCTCGGCCTCCCAAAGTGCTGGGATTATAGGTATGAGCCACCAATCCTGTCCTACAGACTTGCTTTTTAATTAAGTGTGAATTTTAATGAAATTCACTTTCATTTTAATGGAAGTCCCTTGAACACAGTTTAGAAGACACTTTGCCTTTTTTTTTTCTTGAGGGGTCTCTCTGTTATCCAGGCTGGAGTGCAGTGGTGTAATCATGGCACACCGCAGCCTCAAACTCCTGGGCTCAAGCAATGCTCCTGCCTCAGTCTCTTAAGTAGCTGGGACTGCAAGAGCACACCACCATGTCCAGCTGTTTGTAGTTTTTTTTTTTTTGGAGATAGGGTTTTGCTGTTGTCCAGGGTAGACCCTCTGTCTCTTTAAGCAAAGAGGTACACTCCAAAAAAGACCCTAATCAATGTTCCAAGGCTGAGGCAGAAGCCTCATCCCTTTTATTCTCTACACCAAACTTGTCCAACCTATGCGGCCCAGGATGACTGAATCCAACCCAACACAAATTCGTAAACTTTCTTAAAACATTATGGCCTAGCACAATGGCTGACGCCTATAATCCCAGCACTTTGGGAGGCCGAGGCGGGTGGATCACGAGGTCAAGAAATTGAGACCATCCTGGTCAACATGGTGAAACCCCATCTCTACTAAAAATACAAAAATCAGCTGGGCATGGAGGCGCACACCTGTAGTCCCAGCTACTCGGGAGGCTGAGACAGAAGAATTGGTTGAACCCAGGAGGCAGAAGTTGTGGTGAGCTGAGATCTTGCCATTGCACTCCAGCCTGGGTAACAAGAGTGAAACTCCGTCTCAAAAAACACAAAAACAAAAACATTATGAGGCGGGTGCGGTGGTGGGTGCCGGTAGTCCCAGCTACTCGGGAGGCTGAGGTGGGAGGATCGCTTGAGCCCAGGAGTTCTGGGCTGTAGTGCGCTATGCCAATCCGGTGTCCGCACTAAGTTCAGCATCAGTATGGTGACTTCCTGGGAGCGGGGTACCACCAGGTTGCCTAAGGAGGGGTGAACCGGCCCAGGTGGGAAACAGAGCAGGTCAAAACTCCCGTGCTGATCAGTAGTGGGATCGAGCCTGTGAATAGCCACTGCACTCCAGCATAGCGAGACCTCGTAGCTTATTTAAAAAAAAAAAAAGGAAAAAAAATTATGAAATTTTTTGGTCTTTTTTTATTTTTTATTTTTGCTCATTAGCTATCTTAGAGTGGTGTATCTTAAGTGTAGCCCAAGACAATTCTTCCAATGTGGCCCAGGGAAGCCAAAAGATTGGACACCCCTGCACTATACTTACTGAATATCTGTTTGTGAAGGCTGTGCATTTGGATATCAGACTTGCTAATGAAAAATCAAATGGAGGCCACGTTTTGGGTACAGCCCTGGGCCAACCACCCACAGCCACGTAAGGCAAACTTAATATACACTGATTTCTCCCTTCAGTTCAGGACTTGGAGGCTGCAGTGAGCTATGATGGCACCACTGTACTCCACTCTGGGTGACAGAACGAGACCCTGTCTCTCTTAAAAGCAACAGGCCAGGCGCAGTGGCTCGCCCCTATAATCTCAGTATTCTGGGAGGCCAAGGTGGGTGGATCACCTGAGGTCAGGAGTTTCGAGACCTGCCTGACCAATATGGTGAAGCCCCGGCTCTACTAAAAATATAAAAATTACATAGTGGCATGTGTCTGTAATCCCAGCTACTTGGGAGGCTGAGGCAGGAGAATCCCTTGGACCCGGGAGGCAGAGGTTGCAGTGAGCCAAGATTGCGCCATTGCACTCCAGCCTTGGCTCTTGGGCAACAAGAGCAAAACTCCATCTCAAAACAACAACAGGCCGGGCATGGTGGCTCACACCTGTAGTCCCAGCACATTGGGAGGCTGAGGTAGGGAAGAAGCGGGTGGGGCTGAGGGTATAAAGGGAGATTACGAGGTCAAGAGTTCAAGACTAGCCTGGCCAACATAGTGAAACCCCGTCTCTACTAAAAATACAAAAATTAGCCAGGCATGGTCAGGCACATACCTGTAGTCCCAGCTACTCGGGAGGCTGAGGCAGGAGAATCGCTTGAACACGGCAGTTGGAGGTTGCAGTGAGCTGAGATGGTGCTACTGTACTCTAGCTTGGGTAACGGAGTGATACTTAATGTCAAAACAACAAGAACTGCTTATTTTCCTGAAAAGTAAGCGCTGATCAGGAAGGAAGTTTTTTTTTTCTCGTCCGCATGATAAACTGAACCAATCAGCTACAGATACAAAGCTGATCCGGCTCGACTTACCCTAGAAGGAATGCAAGTTGATAATGGCCAATTACAGTCAAGATCACTGCACTTCCTCATTATGCTTTCTAAGCTGCTATTGGAACAATCCACCAGCTGCACAATAAACTCTTAAAACTTTAACTGGAACGGGATTGTTAACTTTTGACAAAATCCAAAATGCCGCTTCACAATCACGTGAACACCTTCCACTGACAAGCACGGCTCATCTCCCACTCTAACAAAACCAAGCACTGGCTTTCTGCAGCCATTCATTCTTCGGACTTTGCTCCTCTCGCTGCTGAAGACATGACACCGCCAAAAATACACAAAAGCCGGTGTCATGGGCCCCGAGAGCCTCCGCACAGGCACGGGAGCGTCCTTTGAGAGCCGGGGGTCTCCGCAGCGGCCTCCCCGCCGCACCCACGCTCCCCACAACACTCGTTTCCTTCTCCCCAAACCTGCTGACGCCTCCGAATCTCCGACGCGCCGCCTCCACCAGGGGCGGACGTGAGTCTGGGCTCTCTTCTCGGGGTTCCCGGGCCCGACCCGGGGTCTGTCTGGCTCACGACCCTCGGCGAACTACCCCCTTACCCGAGCAACAGGCGGGGGCACACTGGAGGATTCAGAGCCTCTCGCTGGCTCCAGCTGAGCAGCGAAGCAGAGCGTCCCTGCGCGCGGCCCCTCTAGGACTGCGGAGGCTTCGCAACTCTCTGGTCAGACAAAAAGTGAGAGCCCTCTAGAGTGATGCACACGCCTCCCCCGGCCCGGACCAATCAACGGCAGCAGAGAGCACCGGGAGAGTCACGTGACGCACAGGTCCCGCCCCTCCTATTTAATCATAACAAAATTTAAAATTATTCTGATTCCAGAGTGACACAATTCGTTTCTTTGGCTGTGTGTTTGTGGAGGGGAGAAAGGTTATCAGATAAAAGAAGAAAAATGAATATTACATTTTAAAGGGATAATTGTGTAATAATTATGTAAATTACCCTCAAAATATGATTTAAATATGATTAAGGAGTTAATTTTTTTTCTTTCCTTTGTCTTCTTTTTCACACTGCAATAAGTCCCAGAGGGGTTAAGTTTTGTTTTGTCTGTTTCTTTTTTTCTTTATTCTAAAAAAAAAAACGAGATATGTATGCAGTATGTGCAGATTTGTTACATAGGTATAGGTATAGGTGTGCCATGCCATGGTGGTTTGCTGCACCGACTGACCCGTCCCCTGCGTTCTCTCCCCTCAGCCCCCACTCCCCAACAGGCCCAGGTGTGTGTTGTTCCCCTCTCTGTGTCCATGTGTTCTCAATATTCAACTCCCACTTATGAGTGAGAAGATGCTGTGTTTGGTTTTCTATTCCTGTATTCAATTTGCTGAGGATGATGGCTTCCAGCTTCACCCATGTCTCTGCAAAGGACATTATCTCACTCCTTTTTATGACTGCATAGTATTCCATGGTGTATATGTACCACATTTTCTTTACCCAGTCTATCATTGATGGGTATTTGGGTTGGTTCCACGTCTTTGCTATTGTAAATAGTGTTGCAATAAACATACGTATGTTGACTGGGCACGGTGGCTCGTGCCTGTAATCCCAGCACTTTGGGAGGCCGAAGTGGGTGGATCAACTGAGGTCAGGAGTTTGAGACCAGCCTGGCCAACATGGTGAAACCCCGCCTCTACTAAAAATACAAAAATTAACTGGGTATGGTGGCATGCACCTATCTTCCCAGCTACTTGGGAAGCTGAGGCAGTAGAATTGCTTGAACTCGGGAGGCAGAGGTTGCAGTGAGCCAAGATCGTGCCACTTCACTCCAGCCTGGACAGTAGAGCAAGATTCCATCTGAAAAATAAATAAATAAAATAGAAATAAAAGAGATGAGGTCTTGCTATGTTGCCCAGGCTGGTCTCGGTCTCTTGGGCTCAAGCGTTCCTCCCATCTCAGCCTCCCAAAGTTCTGGGATTACAGGCATGAGCCACCACACCCAGCTCCTGTTTGCTTTAACAAAAAATGGGGGAACAGTTAGTGCTCCAGGTTCCAGACATTTGAACCTAGGGAAGGCAGTGAGGTCAGGCCTGGCTGCCCCTAGGCAGAGGACAAGGAACTCAGTCCAGCAGATCCTTCCAGGAATAGGAACGTGAGGAGGGAGCTGGATGACAGGTCAGGCCAGCACAGTCCTTGGGCCGATTGCCTTTGTGTCTTCCAAGTGAAACTGGCCCCAGCTAAGAGCGCAGGAGGCTCCCAAAGGCAAGCTCGGGGAAGACAGCTGACTTCAAGCATTTCCTTGAAACTTTTGCTCCCCTCCTGCATTTGCTGGGTGGGGGGAATTTCCTTTGGTGACTGCTGATCAGTAGGAGGCTCTCAGTCTGGTCTCAGAGGGAACGCTCCTTGCTCCTCGTTCCTTTTGAATAAAGCTGTGTCCTAGTGGCACTGGAACCTCAAATGCTGGAGAACTGGCTGCACCACCAACGCTGGATTGGGAAGGCCACTATTCCTTAGCTCTGAACCATTTTATTTATTTATTCATTTGTGTCTCACCTTGTCACCCAGGCTGGAGTGCAGTAGCGTAATCATAGCTCACTGCAGCCTCGACGTCCCGGGCTCAAGGGATCCTCCCGCCTCAGCCTCCTAAGCAGCAGCTGGGACTACAGGCACCATCTGAGCTCAATGCAACCTCTGCCTCCAGAGTTCAAGAGAACCCTCCACCTCAGCCTCCCTAGTAGCTGAGACTACAAACAAGAGCCTGGGCTTAAATGATCTGCCCACCTCAGCCTCCAAAGTGCTCCAGCACTGTCATAAGGGCCTATCTGAAGTCCTGTCATTGTGCTATCTAAAGCATTGTTCTGATAAATCCTGCTACAGATGTGAACAGCACGACCTGAGTTTTGGCTCTGAATTTTTCCTCACACTCTAGCTAAGGTGCCTGTCCACTGCTGAGGCACTCACACAAAGAAATCTTTGGGCCAGGCGCAGTGGCTCACGCCTGTAATCCCAGCACTTTGGGAGGCCAAGGTGGGTGGATCACGAGGTCGAGAGATCGAGACCATCCTGGTCAACATGGTGAAACCCTGTCTCTACTAAAAATACAAAAAATTAGCTGGGCATGGTGGCGTGTGCCTGTAATCCCAGCTACTCAGGAGGCTGAGGCAGTAGCATTGCCTGAACTCAGGAGGCAGAGGTTGCAGTGAGTCGAGATCGCGCCATTGCACTCCAGCCTGGGTAACAAGAGCGAAACTCCGTCTCAAAAAAAAAAAAAAGAAAAAAGAAATCTTTAAGAGCTAAGAACAGAACATACAGTTGTCCAAGGTTGAGAGTCAACAGCAAGTCTATATAACTCCTGGTGGCTAAAGAGAAAAACAGCCAACATGCTTGACCCTGGCATAATCTGAACACACAACCTTCCGATCTGGAGTCAGACGTGCTACCGTTTCGCCATGAGATCTGGGGAAACCCAAGGATTTTTATGCTTTAGAAGAACCTTATTTCAGCAGTTGTCAGATGCAGCAACCAGTACTTTTCTCTCCTTTTATTTTGGTTTGGGATTAACTAGTAGTTCTTTTTCCCTTTTGTAATGCAGCTATTCAGAGGGAAGTGTAAAAGTAAACAAAGCAGGATAGAAGCAGATGTCACCTAGGGGCTCGCGAATAATCCTCTTTGTCAGGAAAAATTCACCTCCCTCGGGCTATGGAGTCTCCTAAAGAGAAACGTTTGGGAAGCCACGAAAATTTGAGAACGCAGCTTAGCGGAGAAGGCTGGGCCGGGGTTGTCAGGGATTTGGATTCTCTTTTCCCTAGCTCTCTGCATAGCTAATACTAAGATAATTTTTACCAGGGCCAGATCAACGGAAGACTACTATGTTCAGGCCGGCACGGTGGCTCTTGCCTGTACTCCCAGCACTTTGGGTGGCCGAGGCAGGAGGATCACGTGAGGTCAAGAGTTCGAGACCAGCCTGTTGAACATGGTAAAGCCCCGTCTCTACTAAAAATACAAAAATTAGCCGGGCATCGTGGTGGGCACCTGAAATCCCAGCTACTCGGGAGGCTGAGGCAGGAGAATCACTTGAACCCGGGAGGCAAAGGTTGCAATGCTGAGATCTCTCCATTGCACTCCATACTCCAGCCTGGGAGACAGAGTGAGACTCCGTCTCTTAAATTAAAAAAAAAAAAAAAAAGTATATCTGGAATTATCTGCTCCTGTTCCCTCCAACCTACCCCCACCTTCCCTGAAACAACACCAGTTCATTAACTAAAACCTCGGCATTTATATGTACAATCACATCCTAGGCTCCCAGTGTACAGATCCTGGGCTCCGTCGGCTCCTGCATCCCCGTGACTGTCCGGTGTGGGCATGGGGAAGGGGCTCACCTTGTCACCCATGCTGGAGTGAGCCGAGATTGCACCACTGCACTCTGTCCTGGCGACAGAGCGAGACTCTGTCTCAAAAAAGAAAAAAGAAACTGAGTTCCTGGCCATGACTGGAGTGGAAGTTGGACATGGCTCATATCTCCTCCCTTTTGTGGTTTAGACACAACAACTGACCAGCATTAACGTTAAAATAGGGATCATGAGGCCGGGCGTGGTGGCTCAACCCTGTAATGCCAGTACTTTGGGAGGCCAAGGTGGGTGGATCATTTGAAGTCAGGAGTTCGAGACCAGCTTGGCCAACATGAGGAAACCCCGTCTCTACTAAAAATACAAAAATGAGCCAGGCATGGTGGCTCGCGATTGTAGCCTCAGCTACTAGGGAGGCTGAGGTGGAAGGTTCTCTTGAACCCTGGAGGTAGAGGTTGCAGTGAGCTCTGATGGTGCCACTGCACTACAGTCTGGGCGACAGAGTGAGACTCTGTCTGAAAAGTAAAAATGAATAAGGCCGGGTGCGGTAGCTCAAGCCTGTAATTCCAGCACTTTGGGAGGCTGAGGCGGGCAGATCATGAGGTCTAGAGATCGAAACCATCCTGGCCAACATGGTGAAACCCTGTTTCTAATAAAAATACAAAAAAAATTAGCTGGGCGTGGTGGCGCGCGCCTGTAGTCACAGCTACACGGGAGGCTGGGGCAGGAGAATTGCTTGAACACGGATGGCGGAGGTTGCAGTGAGCCGAGATCATGCCACTGCACTCCAGCCTGGCACCTGGTGACAGAGCGAGACTGTGTCAAAAAATAAAAAATAAAAAAATAGGCTGGGTGCGGTGGCTCACAGCTGTAATCCCAGCACTTTGGGAGGCCGAGGCAGGCAGACCACTTGAGGCCAGGAGTTAGAGACCAGCCTACCCAACATGGTGAAGCCCTGTCTCTACTAAAAATACAAAAATTAGGCTGGCGTGCTCCTGCACGCCTGTAGTCCCAGCACGGCCTCTTCCCACCTTTTAAGTAGGGAACCCAGGCTGAGGCGCCCTCTCCCTCTAACTGCAGGACCCTCAGGTTTTTGCTTTCCAGAAACCTCTCCCTTCGCTTCCTGGCCCTCTAGTAAGCAGCCCGAGTCTTCGCAGTTGTGACTTGCTTCCCGTGAGCCTCTGCTCTCCGCTCCCGATGGGGCGTGCGTTTCCTACCCAGCAGTCCTCGCGCGGCCTGGCGCAGCGAACACCAGTACTCCAAGATGGCGTCAGTCGGTGAGTGTCTGGCGTCGGGTAGGGCTCTTTGGACGCCGCGGTGGAAACAGGAGTCAGGGCCCAGGGTCCACGGCCACACTGGGAGAGGAGGAAGCTGCGGAGCTGCCTGCCCTTCGCTCAGGGA